GGCAAACAGGAGAAAGCCAAGCCTTAGCTCTATTCTATTGCGATGGGTTGCTCTTTTGCTTGGCAAGGACTCCACTAGCTCTGTTGGCACAAGGTTCAGATGTTTGGTGGCACCTGATATCCATGTTTCCTCTGCCTTTCCTTCATGCCAGCTCTGACCCCAATACTCTCTTGACCAGCTGAGTGTTACGTTTCAGACCAAGTGAGGCTAGATAAGGTACAGACAGGTAACCTTCCAGGTCAGTTCTGTTCTCCTACAGGGCAGCAAACTGCAGCAGAACAGCCTCAAACAATGTGGTAACAAAAATCTATTAATATCTGCCACTGAGCAGTTCTCAGCAAGGCAGGAACATTTTCAGAAAATCAGCTCCCAGTCTCCAAGTCTCTGGTATCTTACAAATCAGAGATGCTACTGTAGCTCGTCACAACCCTTCCAGCATCACCATAAAGCAAGATCACTGGGCTACAATAATTCCTCAAGAACATTGCTTCAACCTATTATCTCTCATGAGTGCTGGCAAGCTAGGAAAGCCCTCCCAGTTAAGAGACCTTTTGTTTACACAAGCACCCTCTTGTGGCACAGTTTTCCAAAGACTAGTTTATTTGCAGGCTGAAAGAATGCACTTATCTTTGTTCTCTCCTATAACTTACAGAGGCCCAGAAATGAGATAAAAAACAGAGGTGACACTCAGAGAACTGTTACCCACCAGGAAGCCTTCATCAAAAGCCACCTTGTAGTACTTCTGCTCACATACACTTACACATGGTACACAATCATCTGCTGAAGGATTGTGGACTAAACAAGGAACAATAACATGATTTATCTAGAGATTAATCTGGGCAAGACTGATGAAGTCGAACAGAACTACAGGCAACAATCCTTCAGAGTTTCCCAAGTCACAAGCCTTCATCAGCTCCAACACAAAGCTGTCTTTTCTAACCAGATCTCAAGAAACAGACTCAAGTGAAGTGGTTTTGTTGGCATCTCCATGCAACAACAGGAACAAGCAATCTTACTTCCTGAAACAAAAGGCAGAGAAACATCAAGAAGATGGTCCTCCTATTAGAGGAAAGAAGAGAGGGCAGACTACAGAACCAGAGGGGAGCTTGGGACATGCTTTGGCATATACTTGAGATGATGATGATAATCATGCTACGCTGGCCTGGAGCCATGGGATGCAGCAAAAGGGAAATGAATGATTAAGAAACACACTTCAATTATTTTTCAAGGGATGCGGCGGTCAGAACTAGAGAAAGCTTAAGCTCATTTGTGATTTCATTATCATGTCAACACTAAACTTAAAAAAAAAAAATAATAATAATGATGCCTAGCAACGTTTCTGTAGCTTATTAAAATACTCATCAGTCTTTTGTCATATTCAGTAGAACTCAGTGTATGACTAGACATGGGAAAAACGTGGAAAAATGATGTATAAAACATGGCTAAGACCACGCTACTTAAAGTCAAGCCAAAGAGTTAGAAACAAGTAGTAACTCCACAGAGAGGCAAAGGAGGAGGCAATTGCTATGCATTCTTCATAGCTCATCCATTTAGAACATTGCAAATTGGAAGGAACCCACAAGGATCACAGAGTCCAACTCCTGGCTCCACGGAACCACCTAAAATTCAAACCATATTTTTGAGATCGTTGTCCAAACATTGCTTCAACTACTGCTGTGGGGTTGGATCAGACTGCATACCTCCATCTGAATACGAACATGAGACAACACCAGTTTGGAATTTAAGAAATTCTTCCTTTTAGGGCAAGAGGACTCAGCAGATGAACACCTCGATGCTTTCTGAGAAGTTCCATGCTGCACACTAATTCTCTCTCACCAAGCCCAGTGAAAACCAACTAATTAGATCATCACGCCACTTCTACCACAGGAACTGCCTCTGTTTACTTCAGGCCAGTAGAAATCCATCAGTGATTACAGCTCTGACAATTGCTACTCTGGAACAAAACCACAGAGCCTTTATACTGGACAAAGTTAAAGTGCTGTTGATCAGCTCCTCTTCATGAATAGGCATTTTATTTACAGTACCATTGTAAACAGCACTTCAATCTGATATTTGCAGCTGCCTATTACCACATTTTGTTCACTAAAGAAAGGAAGGCACACACATGACAAGCCAAGCCCCAGTTCAATAAATCTTCTGATTTTTAGGGTGGTAGCAGCAGGGCAGGGGACTTTGTCCAGCAGCACCTCCAGCCTAACTGCTGCCATGGAGAGCTATTCCCTATGCCTCACTAACACAATGTGCTGTCAGCTACTGGTAATGAGTACTCAACCATAACCTCAGTGAAGATTAGATACAGAGAGTGAATACTACAGGGAGACTCCATTTACTACCCCATTCCTTAGCTTCATCAATTAAAGTCATCAGAATTTTCAAAGGCACCCTCAGGACAATTTCCACAAAGCGTTAAACAACATGAAATAAACATCTGGCCAAATGAGTTATTTGCAGGGCACATTCATCAATTACAATTTCCCGTGTAAGACTCAAGAATGCCTTTATTAATTACGTGAAGCTGCCAGGAAGTGTTCAGCCAACACTGCAGAAAACATGGATCTAGCTACTGAGATTAAATTCTGTTCGGTAAGTAAGGTCTCACTGCAAGGAAGTAAAAAAGGCTGCAATATTTGAAGAACTTCACTTAACTGCTTGAATAAGTTGACAAAGCTTTAATGTCCAGCATCTTCAAAGTTCTACAGTACTAAATTGAGATGTTTTTATAGAATCATAGAGTGGCCTGGGTTGAAAAGGACCAAAATGATCATCTAGTTCCAACCCCCCTACTATGTGCAGGGCCGCCAACCACCTGACCAGGCTGCCCAGAGCCACATCCAGCCTGGCCTGGAATGCCTCCAGGGATGGGGCATCCACAACCTCCTTGGGCAACCTGTTCCAATGCACCACAACCCTCTGTGTGAAAAACTTCCTCCTAATATCTAACCTAAACCTCTCCTGTCTCAGTTTAAAAACCATTCCCTCTTGTCCTACCACTGTCAACTCTCACGATGATCCCTTTGTCAGCCACCTTCACTCCCCAGATCTTTTACTGCATGAAGAAAACACACTGATAGGAGTCAGGGGCAGAAAACAGAAGATGCATTAAGGTGGATGCAGTGCAATTACATAGCAGCACAGGCAATAAAGCTCTCGGACAGGCTGAACAGTCTGAGAAACAAGAATAAGAGAGGATTTCTCTGTGGAAAGAAGGAAAAATAAGAGAGGAAGGGAACAAGGCAAAAAAGAGCCATGTTAACTCAAAGCAGCAGTATATTCCAAATACTTCTATTCATCCCCAAAAATGAGACCTGCAAATCTCTCTAAGCACCAAAGGAAGCAAATGCTTCAGCCAGTGCAGAATGCCGTACCTCTGGAAAATCTCCTGCAGGGTTTCCCTAGTGAAAGCGTTGCTGTCCTGGAAGACATTGTTGAGGGCATGGAGGGCACACAGCTCCCTGCGCTGCTTCTCGTGGTAAATATGTAGCGGTGGCAGCTGGGGTGGCTCAGGGGACTCCGATTTGGCCTTGTCACCTTTCCATGGCACGCAACTCATCTTCTCGCAGGGCGGATGGCGAGGCAGGAGGTGAGAAACTCAGCAGGCCGAGGTCTCTTCCTCAGAGTCACAGCAGCAGCGCGCGGCCCCTTTATTTTATAGGCAAGGGCTGCTTCCAGCTCACCAACCCCCCTCTTGTGCTTCAGTTTATTCAGTAATCGCCTCTGACGGCTGGCTTTAACAACCACCTCCTTTCTCCCATACCCCATAAAACGCCACACACGCAGCCCCCCCTCCAAAAAAAAAACCAAAAAACACCGACAACAAAAAAACCAAAACCAAAAGCAGAGAGATAAGCAAAAGATACGGATCCCGTCGGTCTCAAGGTGCCAGCTGGATGCTGCCACACCGCTCCTTTTCTTCCATCTCCGGTACCCAGCGCAGGCCGCAGGGAGGGGCCGAGCTGACGGTGCGGGCCCGCCCCGGGACACGGGATGGGCCGGGGTCCCTCAGCTGCCCTCCTCCATCGCTGCGGGCAGGGCTCCGGGATGCCAACGGCTCGGGGAAGGAAGCCGCCTCCTCCTCCGCCTCCTCCTAGGCCATAAAACACAGCTCCGGGCTCCGCAGCGCCCGACGGGCCGCCCCGCGCCTCCGCCCGAGGGAAAGCTCCGTTAGGAGCGGGCAGGGCCCGCACGGAGCCCCGAGGAACCGCCGCTCCGCCCGCTGCCCGGCCACGGCCTCCTCGCACCGACGGCGCGGCGCATGCGCCCCCCCCCTTCCTTCTCTAACGCGCCCGGGGGTTTTCTGTCAGGAGCCCTACGGACGCCCGGCGCGTTTCATTGGTCGACACAGCTGTCCGTGAAACTGTTCCTCTTTTTCATTGGTCGGTCTGAGTGAGTGCCCGCCCGCGTGCCTAACTGCCGTGTGTTTGGTCCCGCCCCATCGCTCAAGCCTTCCTGTTCCATTGGGTCGTAGGGCCGCTTGTCAAGAGGAAGAGCTCTCCTATTGGGCAAGAAATACTCGACACGTCGAGCGGACTCTGTTGTGTGTGTATACATAGAAAACAAGCCGAGCTGGCACTGCTTCTCCCATTGGCTTCGCGCGCTTCGCGGGGGCGTGGTCCCCCGTCACGGACCCGCCCTCCGTCGCCGTGACTACAGGCTAATTGCCCTCCCCTCCCGCTCTCCCATTGGCTGTCCGTCCCGCGCACCGCCTTGGCGGGCGGGAGGCGTGGCCTCCGCGCTTCCCGGGGCGGAGGGGCGGGGGCGGAGTGCCGGGGCAGGGAAGATGGCGGCGGCGGAGCGGAGCCGCTCCCCGGCGGGGGGCTCCCCGGTGCCGGCCTGCATGTTCGCCCCGGAGCCCGGCTCTCCGGGCGGGAGGCCTCGTTCGGCGGCGGCCGCCCGCTCCCTGCGCTCTTCTTTCGAGGCGGAGGACGGCGAGACGCTGAACGGAGAGCCCGAGATCGACCTCACCAGTAAGGTAGGCCCGGCGGCGGGCGCTCCGGCGGCGGGCACGGGCTGGGCCTGCTGTCAGAGGGTCCCGTCCGGAGGGAAGGGGTCGGTAGAGATAGCGGGAACCGCGCCAGGGCTCCTCGAGGTCTGTCCCGTTCGGCCTCTCGCTGTAACACTGTGCTCCGAGGGCCCGGCTCCTCTGTACGCGTAGGGGAGCTGTGGTGTGCGGCTGTAGGAGCCTTTGGCTGCGGGGGAACGGCTGAGCTCTGAATGCTTGGAAGATATCCTGTAAGGAAGCGAAGGGTGAGCATCGAAACTTCAGCGTCTGCCGGGCCACCTGTTTGTGTCTGGAAGAGCTGGGCGAGGTGCGGGTACTGGATGCCAGCGCCGACCTGTGTGTGTGCTTTGTGTTGGGTACAACCGGAGTGGAGGAGCGCGCAGGAGGGCTCCGAGGGCTGTCAGCAGCCCTGACAGCCGGGAACCGCCCACAGCTCAGACCAAGAGGGAGGAAAGCTCTCGTCCTGCTGCTTCCATTGGTGTCGGCAGCCAGCCATCTGCTCCCAGGCACCTGCAGGCAAAGTGGAAGTGACAGGTGAGCATTATTTTGTCCTTTATTACGATTGACTTCTCTGCACGGCAGTATATACACCTGCTGCCCTGTTTTCTCAGAAGGAGCGGTGCTGCAGTGGCACAGGCTGCCCAGGGAGGTGGTGCAGTCATCAACCCTGGAGGTGTCCCAGAACCTGTGGATGTGGCACTGAGGGACGTGGGCAGTGGCATGGTGGGGATGGGCTGACAGTTGAACTAAGTGATCTTAGAGGCCTTTTCCAATCATAATGATTCTGTGATTCTATGATCTCTATCTTGGATGAGTGCTGAGGCTGTGAGCTCTGCCCATGCTCTGTTCTCAAAACAGCAGTCCCATATGGTGAGAACACAAGAGTTAACTTGGCCTCTTCCCCAACCCCCCTATTTCTCTGTCTATCCAGCTGAATTACTTCTCACCACTTCCTGCTTAAAACAGTGATTCCCACTGCAGTTAGTTTGTTTGCTGGCCTTCTGTCCCGCTCTGACCCAGCTGCTTGCTGTCTGACACACTTCTCTCCCATTCCCCTCCCCAGTGTGTTTGCTGTGAGTTCTGCTCTTCTTAGAGAACAACACTGGGGATTCTCTTGATTCTCTTATCAAGCACATATACTTTATCAGTTGATCAAGCAAACTGTTCCATTCATCAGTGCAAATCCATTATCGCATTAATCTTAATAGGTGCTTGTTTTCCCTTCAATACTAATACACTGCAGTAGTAATTATTTTTTAGGTCAAAAACATATCTCACCAAGCTATTAGTGAAGCAGAATTTTTTAAGTTATTATACATTTGTTCTATGCTGACAACAGAACATTAGTAGCACTCAAAGTATGCCTGTCTATAGGAAATAGGAAGCAAAATACGATGTTACAGAAGGAGTTGGTGTAAGACTGAAATGTCACAGGGCTGGGTTGTCTTTCCCCTGACTTCCCAATGGTTCGTGGTAGCCTCCCAGCCAAACGTCAGACTGTGTCATACCAGTAGAGCAGCACTGAATGCTGCTTAGTATTTGTTTTGCCTTTAACCTTTGTAGTTTGCTCACCTTGTGGGTAGGGGATGTATCTTCCCTTAGGACTCCCTGAGAAGTATTCACACTATAGCCTTAGCTTGATCGCAGCAGAAGCTTTAAATTGCTGTTTGTTGATTATGGCATCTTTCTTGCTGATGAGCAAAGCAGAGTGCATAGTTTGCTTGCCCCTTGGAATCAGCTCATCCAGCTGTAGCTGCTGCCAGTTTCTGGTCTATGTTAATCCCAGAGCTGATCAGAGAAAAGGTGGGAAATGTGACCTCTCCCCAAACATTGTGTTGGGACTTTAGAGATGATGTCTCAAATTTGTGAGAGAGATGTTTCTTTCTGCTGTCATGAGAATAGAACAATAACTGGCTTTTGCTTTTTTGCCTTATAGGAATTCTGAGATTGCTAGACCTGCATGACTTCTGCAAACTGCTCAATGTCTGGCAAAGTTGAAAGAACAAAAGTGAAAATGTTTGACTTGATGAAAACCTGAAAAATGAGTGTACAATACAAGCATAGATGGGATTTCTCAAAGGTGGGAAAAGAAAACAAACACAGAGGGCCTCTCTCTGACACAGAAGGGATCTTCAAAACACCAAATGAAGTGTTGCAGTGAGCTAGGACAATGCAGAACTGGCTGGTGACTGCAGGCAGCAGAAGCAGCCATGAGAAATGCTGAACAATACTGAAAGATCTGATCCGTGAAAGCTGCCACTTGATCTATCCTTCTTTCTCTTTGCATCCCACTAAATCATATCATATGCAAGCTTCATCACCATGGGGGAGGCTTTGAAGGACTCCTGCTATTCAGGGCAGTGTTGTAGCCCTGAACACCTGGAACACCTTACAGCAGCACCGTTGCTGATGGGGAACAGCGTTCTGATCTGTGCTACCTGAATATGTGCATATACTGTGTTCTGTGAGCCTACAGCCCTCCTGCCCAGCACTGTGAAGAAGGGCTGCAGCGAGCTGCTCAGCTGAAATGTGCCTGGTACTTCAGTCAACGCACTGCTGAAGCATTCAGACTTGTAGAAGAATGAAGCTGGTGCTGAGGCGTGAAGAAATGAAAGTTAGCATGCCTCTATGCTGATGACTCCTCTGTTTACTGATCTTAATGGATATAACCACCTATTTAATAGATATTCCTGAGTTCCTGACTTGTCCTCATTCACTAGCATGAGTAGTGAGATGGTTTGCCAGGAGTTCCTGAAAGTGCTGGCTGTACAAAACAAGCCCTACATGTCAACACGCAGCCCTTCATTCCTGTCCTGATCAAACCTCTGAGTAGATTCCGATTCTCCTCTTCATACATTCAGTGGTCTCCTCTGAAAAACAAAACAAAGCCTAACCAAACCAGAACAGACCAGTAATAAAGGCAAAACTCAGTGCTTTATAGTACAATAGAGAAAAACTGTGGCCTCGTACATCAGAGAGCTTTACTATCTGAACTGCTTTGCAGACCGTGCCAAGTAGTTCAAAGCCTTAGATAGGGCATGCATCTAGAACAAGTACACGAAGGTGGTTGTCTCTCAGCTCTTTGTCCCTTGCAGAAGTACTGATGCTCTCTGCTACTGTTAAGATCTAAGGAAGGCGTTGCTTAGGCTGCCTTAAGCCCTCTATTAGCACTTGGTATCTGTGCTTCATTTTTCCAGATGTGCTCATTGCTGTAGTTTTGAAAGCTGCTCAAACATTGGTTATGATGCTTTATGCTCCAGATTTCTAAGAAAGGACTTCATCACCTATGTAGCAGCAGGTGGCAAAAGCTGAATATACGTTTTGTTAGCTGTGCCAGCAAGTCAGGCTGTTTGAGGCCTGCAGTTGTAATGATTGTGAGCTGCTGTAAGCCATATGCTTTAGACAAATCTAGCCCAGTTTCACACTGGTCTGGGTGCACAGTGGAGGGAAATATATCTTTCTGGGTGTGCTTATGGAGCACGTATGTAAGAGCAGCTGGTGGAAGTACGGATTTCATGGAGTGCTGTAGGGTGTCATGGCAGTGCATATCTACGGAGCTCTTGGTTTTGCTGCCTACTTGTGCCTTGCAGTGGGTCTGCAGAGCTTCCAGTTGTGGATGAACAGCAGAAGTACCCACCTATGGTATTTGTTTGGAGGAAATCCCTCATCCCCTTTGTGCTTTCCTTGCATGGAAACAAGTATTTCACAGAAGTCAAAGTGGGATGCTCACTTGCATGTGGCTTTTAAATATCGGTTGCTTCAAAATGAGATGCTTGGTATTCCTACTTGCTTTGAAGTAAACCTTTCCATGTAAATGAGCTCTGAGCTCAGGCTAATCATCTCATGCAGTGTCACAAGGAAATAGTTGCCAGCAAAACTGTCCTAAAAAAAAAAAACAACCAGCCACATATACGCACAAAGCCAGAAAACGGTCCTTGGAAAAGAGCCTTCATCTTTCAATAAAGCACACTGTTTGATTGTACTTATAGCGGAAGTAGGTTTTGATTTTATTTTTTCCTTGACATCTGCATGTTGGGTATTTAATCTCTTTTCCAGCTGGTGATGGTGAGTCCAACCTCAGAGCAGTACGACAGTTTGCTGCGGCAGATGTCGGAGAGGATCGATGAGGGATGCGGGGAGACCATCTATGTCATCGGGCAGGGATCAGGTCAGTACAGCTTCCTCTGGATAACAAGAGAAAACATGAAAATGATAACCTCTGTGACTGCTGTTGAAGATGACACCTCACCAGAGTAACATGGAAACTTTCCTAAAGTGTAGCAGAAGGCCATCTTGTGTACTTCTTGTATAAAATCATACGGATTCTTTATTAGTGTTTGCCTCTGCTGCAGAGAGGGATGTTTGCCTTTTCTGAACATGAGGTCTTTGTGTCCCATTCACTCAGCTGTGACTGCACGCGTTTGCCTTTGCAGGTTTTAGCAGTTTAGGGTGGGCTACCTTTTTGTTCTTTTTCATGACTGGAACGTTCCCATCTGATGCTGATAAAATAGTACTGTGCGTGGTCTTGTTTTGAAATGCAAATTTCTGAATGCAAAATGACTTGCCTCTGTGTCTCTATCATAATGCTAAAAACATACTTAAAGTATGCTAAATATCTATTGAATATCTAGTTGTAGGCAAATGTTCTACTGGTTGCTATGTCTGAGGAAGAATATAAAACCATGGTCATCAGTGTTAGGGTTGGCTGCAGTAATGGAGGGAATTGTGCTACCTCAGCGCTGTTTGCTTTTCAGGTTTTCTTCGTGTCTCACAAAGCAGCCAACATAGAAGAGAAGCCAGGATTAGATGGGCAGTGGTCATGCAGCCCACTTCAAGGGAATGCTTTTGTATCCAGACAAGCTTCCCATATGTATTCTGAGCCCTTGGTCTTCCTGATAATCACAATTGCAGGGAGATCTAGCTAGCCAGGCTAGTAAATCCTTTCTCTTCTGGAACAAGTTATGGGTGTGTTAACAGGTTACTGTTGCAATGATGTACTTAAAATAGGTGCTTGTTGCTTAAAACAGGAGATAAAACTTCTGACTACTTCAGGCTACTGCATAGCTGAGAAAAGTGAGGTTCTTTTCTGTAGATTGGGGCTATTGGAAACAGCATCCAATAGAAGAAAAAAAAAAAAGATATCCCTCCACTTTCTCATTCCCTTTGAGTGTCTGTGATTTTTAGTATGGGGGTGTGATGACTGAGAGGCCAGGGAAGGCTGCTTCATCAGTACTGACAAATACCTGTTCTCCCTTAGCTATTACTCCCATCCTCTACTCCTTATTCCCTTCTATGACCCAGAACCCCAATCATGATGCTTCTTGTTTTCCCCACCATCTCCACAAGTTCTTAGGTTGCTTACAAAAAACTGCCCAGCAGCTCTGTGTGCTGTAGAGCTTTGCAGTGACTGAAATGCTGATTAGTCCATGCAAAGTGCAGTTACTGCTTACCAGCTGATGAGTCAGCCATGCATATAAATGACTGTACAGCAGTAATTTTGGTCATCCAGGTGCTATATGTCACTTCACCTTTGTTTGTGTGTGTTTTTTGGTTGGTTGATTTTTTTTTTACCCCACAGAGAAGATTCTGGCCTGAGATCTGTGCAGCTTCTGAATACTTAGGGTAGAAGAACAGCTGAGAGCTCTGGTGGCCTTTCAAGTGGCTGAGTGGTTGCCACTGGCTTTCTCTGACAGTCAGCACTTTGCTGGGGTGAGCTGTGCAGAAAGAAGCAAGAGTGCCTCATTCTTTTTTTTCCCTGCCTCGTGTACTTGTCAGCATTTCTTCCAAGTGCAAGGATGAAGGCAGTGAGATGGGCCAAAACCCTTGTTTTAACTGGAGCACATGAGGGCCAAAGGAATTGCTGCGCAGGCCAGATTTGCAGAAAAGTGGAGTTGGTATGTGTTTTTTTCTGAAGTAAGCTGATAGCTTAAATTGCCTCCACATTCACTGGTTAACCATGATGATATTCCAGTCAGAGCTTTCAGTTTTTCTATGGTTTTTCCTTTATTACAGCGTGAGTGGAGATTCTCTATCAGACTGAAGGAGATTCTTGTTTGTAATAATAACAAGGAAAGCTCTCTTTGGTGAAAGATGGTGCATTTCTAGTGTATTTTAAGACTTAAAATAGGAAGTCCTTTATTCTCTTTGGCAAAGGACATTTATTCTGTTGACACGGCTGATGTCTCTGGTTCACGTGTGAATCCTGATCGGTGTGAAAGTGCCAAACAGGGCTGAAACTGCTGCTGGCTGTTGCACAGTGACGCTCACAGACTGTCCTCTGTCTCCTCAACCTCACACCAGATGGGACCGAGTACGGTCTGAGCGAGGCAGACATGGAAGCATCCTATGCCACATTGAAGAGCATGGCCGAGCAGATCGAGGCTGACGTGATCCTCCTGCGGGAGCACCAAGAGGCAGGGGGCAAGGTGCAGGACTACCTGGTTCGGAAACGTGTGGGTGACAACGACTTCCTGGAGGTCAGGTGAGGAGCCGGGTGGAGACAGGTTTAGTCAGCAGCCCTGCTGCATTCTTACCCTGTGAGCACTCTGTGATGCTGAGCCAGCAACGCTGGTTTGAGTCTAGGTGTTGTCATTGCCCAGCAAAGCTTGACCACTCCTTGCTAATGAAATCTCCTTTTTGTTGTTATTGCTATCTTTTTTTGCACACAAACTGTAGAGATTTAGCTCTATATAGCTGGGAGCTGTTGTTTGGGTGATGGTGTGGGGATATTTGTGCTCGAATTCCATTAGGATTTTCTTCCACTCCAAGAATGTGATGATTCTGATCGTCTTTTAGTGGATATCTAATAGCTTGTGTAATCTGACTTCAGAATCTGCCCAGCCTTGGATTTCCACCTTTTGTCAACAGCCATAATCATCACCTTTATCAGAAACAGGAGGGGGACTGCTGTAAGGAAGGATCTTCTCCTAGAAGGTTTCGTTGTTGTTTGGGCTTTGCCTTTTCCAGGAACAGCAACTTATATTTCTCTTTTCTCCCTAGCATATGGTGCTATTGCAGTGTGAAGAATACAAAAATGGTATAGGGATTCTAGCCCAAGCTGAGATTTAGATTTTTGAACTGCCACAGCACCCGTGTTTGACTGCAGAGACTAGGAGTTAGGAGAAGAGATATTCTGTATAAGCGCCAAGCAATTCTGGATTCAGCGCTCTAAATTCTGAGCATCAGTGATATATTTCAACAATCTTCTACTTCTCATTTTCCGGAGCTTGTGATGTTCCCTGTTAACTGGGAACAGTGAAGAAACCTCTGCTCTGCTTGTAGAGATCCAACTTTTTATGCTGCTTGCAGGTTAGGGAGAAGAAACTATTTGCAGGAGCAGTGGTGTTTGGAGTTTGTTGCTTCAGATATCAGATTTTCAACACGCTCCTTTTTGCTTTCTCCTTCAGGGTAGCAGTGGTTGGCAATGTGGATGCAGGAAAGAGCACCTTGCTGGGTGTCCTGACACACGGTGAACTCGACAACGGCCGAGGCTTTGCTCGGCAAAAGCTCTTCCGCCATAAGCATGAGATTGAGTCAGGCCGCACCAGCAGTGTGGGCAATGACATCCTGGGTTTTGATAGCGAGGGCAACGTGGTGAACAAGCCTGACAGCCATGGTGGCAGCTTGGAGTGGACAAAGATCTGCGAGAAATCCACCAAGGTCATTACTTTCATTGACCTGGCTGGTCACGAAAAATACCTGAAAACCACCGTCTTTGGCATGACTGGCCATTTACCTGACTTCTGCATGCTTATGGTAGGTAGCAAGAAAGATATGTGGTACCTGCAGAAAGAGTGCTGTTTGCAGCTTTACAGCCTCAACTTCTTCTCTATTACAAGGTCCCTATGGGTTGTGGAGGGAGGCAGCATCTCCCAGAGGTGGAGAGGAGCTGGGGGGCTAGGAGTATATAACCAGGATTCTGGGACAAGTTCCCCAGGACTCTCAGTCACTAAGAGGTCCAAGATGTATGATTCTTGGGAAGTGAAAGCTTTTCTAGACTCCAGAGCACCTTGTTAGAGCTGTGTAGAAATGATTCCTTAGCCAATAGCTGCGAGCATTTGAAGTGAGCAGAGTCTCCTCATTTGTTTCCACTGCCACATCTACAACCTGACCACAGTCTACTGTGAGTCTGGTGCAAGACGTTCTGTGTAAGCCAGCTTGCTGCAGGAGGAACACTGAAGGAGGAATACTGACATCCACGTATCTTGTATCTGCTGTAGGTTGGCAGTAATGCTGGGATTGTGGGAATGACCAAGGAGCATTTGGGTCTGGCACTTGCACTCAATGTTCCTGTCTTTGTTGTGGTGACCAAGATTGACATGTGCCCAGCCAATATCCTCCAAGGTAAGTCCTACATGCTCTTTCCAGGCGTATTCCTTACCTCTGAATCTGCCATTATCCTCCATTTGGGTTAAGGAGTCATTGCCAAAGGAAAGCTGCTTTGTCTGGTTTTGACTGCATCTTAAACACCTTCCAGAAATCTAAACTTTTATTTCCCTCACCCATTTGCAAGGCAGTTTGCTTGTAGTCACCATTTCAGAGTGACTCTGCTTGGAGGGTCAACAAAAAAGTGTCTGCTATAGGATTTCGTTTAACTGAGCTCTAAGGAGAAAAGTGTGCAGGTAGGGCAGTGGTTTTTGTTTTCTCTGTGGGTGTTCAAACCTGAAGAGAAAGTCTGGAAGTTCTCTTGAAATTTACTGCTCCTTGCCCACAGTGTGGATATGATCTTAAGCTGTGGTCAGTCTTGTTCTCTGGCAGCTGCTAGGCAAAAGGCCAGCTGCTCGTTGCATCCTGCTTACCTGGGCACTTCTCAGATATGCTGGCATCACTTCAGCAGCTCCTTCCTTTGTCTGACCAACTAACCAACATGCAGTAAATCACAGTTCAAGGCAGCCATATATGTGTAGCAGGACTGGAAAAGGCACAGGTGAAGGATGGTAGTGAGCAGCAGGGGCTAGCAACTTCCTTGGGACCCCAGCAGTGGG